CTAAATAGTGAATTTCATGAGCTAATGATGAAAGAGAATGACCGAGAAAACAGAGCGCTAATTATTTGTCTCTGCGTACTGTGGGCTGAAACTGATTCACTCAGAGATAATTTTCTGAGCTTCTTTACCTTTGCATAAGCTTTCTAACCACGGCAGTGACGATATTCACATTGGAAGCTGGAATTACCGCGGCTACTGGCATTAGACTTGCCCTCTTATGGATGACTGAACAGGCCCGAAACGCTAATTTGAAGATCAACTGCCAGCATTTAACAGTGACGGCACACAGTAGCAATAAAAAAGTAGGGCAGTTGTCACACTTTCTGTAATTTTTCTTGTTTTGGCTATAAATTTTCGAATTTTACGCATCGATAGTGTCAGAACAACTCTATTAGTGATATCTACACTTCTTGTGTGACGCAAAAAGTTGCCTCATTTTATGATTTTCATCAGAATTGTGTGTTTTTTTGCTGTGAGAATACACAGTTTTGAGCAGTTCTACGGCTCTCTCAGGGAAAACTGTGAAATCCAAAAAGCTTTCCGAATGAGGAACATCTCCTAGTGAATTATTAGGGAGTGCATGTCCCTACACTATCGTGTACCACTGTTTTGCAAACTCTGTCACAAACCTTCCTAAAGCTCTTTGCTTTCTACCTGCTCTATAGTCTCTGCAATTTTGGGGACTATGTCTTCTTAAGGATGCTTTAGAACCACTTTTTACGAGAAGAGGTTCGCGGGTGTTTTACCAAATCTGCTGGCAAAGATGTGCACTGAAACTCGAAAAAACTGAATTTCTCACTTTTCCTTCTGTGGAGACATAAAACAGCTGAAATATCTACCCGCTTCAAACCCAAGCATCAACAACCCCAGCATTAATCCTCATGTAAGAAAGCAATAGTAAGCTCAACTAGCAGAAATAGAGAGGCAACGTTTTGGAAATTCACTAATCCTGAGGCAAGTACAAGGGAAATTACCAGTAGTTTGTCGGCATAAACTCGTTTGCTGGCCGTAAACAGTATAATTTCGAAGGAGCGTGACAGTCTTTCCAGAAATTCTTGAAGATACGGCCGTACGCGAACATAAACCTGAAAGAAATTATGAGCTTTTGTGTCCACGGCAAAACAAATATGTTTGCATGTTTTTTGTACTTTTGCATAAATCGGAATGCTGTATGATATTCCAGCTCTTCGACTGACAGAAGTTAGTAGGCGATCTGTTAAAGTGTAGTCTCTGATCATATGTTCAAGCACAAGTTTGAAATTTCCAAACTATTTTACATCTAAATTCAGACTAATCTAGTAATCGCAGAAAGAGTTATACTTTTGGAACCTTATTTTACCGCACAGCATGAAGTGCACAAGCAGGAAATCAGGGTCCCAGTCTCATTTTATTCTTACCCATCATCTGATGTGCAGATAGGAGGGGCTGATGCCGCAAAATCGTAGCAAAGTAAAATATGAATCGAAAGTTTTAGAAATATGAATCGCTTTGAGTCTGGACGGTTAGCTCCGGCTCCCACCCTATGCTGCATTCTCCCATCGTACGTTATTATAAGAACGAGGTGGCTGTATAGGTCTTGTGAGGAATCGTCTAGTGAAATGGCCTCTTTCGAGTGATCAATTTTACCTGATAGGTGTTGTCTTGAAAATGCACCGGAAATGTCAGTGAAGCATCGGGTAATTCAGTTAAACTGCAGTGAACTAGCGTTTCATCCTGAAAACAAAACATTTTCCAGACGTTTGGGGCGGGGGCAATGACATTAATCATGATATATATGTTTAAAAAATATATCAGATTATATCAAAAAATTATATGAATATTTTGGCCCATCAAATCATAGATA